CTATTTACTGCTGGAACTTCAGAGTGGGGAACCATGCCTGGCCTCATAGTGGGTGCTGCCATAGCAAAATAACACCGCGTGGCTTGAAACAATAGATATTTATTCTCTTCCAGCTCACAAGTCCAGAAGTCCAAAATAAAAATGTCAGCAGGGTTAGTTTCTTCTGGATTCTGTTCCCTGCCTTTCTTCTAGCTTCTGGTTGTAGGTGTTAGTCCTTAAAGTTTTTTGGCTTGTAGACACATCACTCCAATCTCACCTCCATTTTCACATGTCTCTGTGTATCCTTTTCTGTCTCTTATAAAGACCCTCTCTGTACTTAGGGCTCATTCTATTCTGATATAATCTCATTTAGTAAATTACATCTGCAAAGACCCTATTTCCAAATAAGGAAGGTTAGTCTTAGGTTTCTGATGGACATGAATTTGGGAGAGGGGCACTATTCAACCCACTAAAATGCTCAATAAATATTTGATGGAGGAATGAATGAATGCACAGTATAATTCTAGGCTTCAACTCCTTGGGCATTTTCCATTACTGTCTTAATAATTGTGCTACCTTCTGTAGAGGTTAAGAGGCCAGTTTAGTCCCAGAACGCTTGGGCTCCTAATTCTGGTTCTGCCATCTTCTAGTTGTGAGATCTTAGGCAGTTATTTAACTTCCGTAAGCCTCAGTTTCCTCTTCTTCAAAGTAGTAACAAGGAGAAATAAGAGTAAGTGTCCTGTAGGGCGTGGCTATAGGGTTAAGCCTCGGACTGACCTGTTGGCAAAGCCACAAATAAGTCCCAGGTTAGAGGGCACAGCCCTCTTAGCATAACTAGGCTTGACCTTATGACGCCCCTTAGATCTTATCTGGGTAGCTATTGGGCTAAGGGAGATGCAGCAAGTGCTGCCAAAACAAGTGAAACTCACAAGAACATTGTAACTATGGTGACCACTACCTTGTTTACCTCTGGCTATAAAATAAAGGCTCAGCTTGCCTCTGGATCTCTCTCTGTGGCCTCAGCCAGGCACAGGAAGAGCCACCTAGACCCAGCTTATTCTCTTTGTCATTTCTTCATCCATTTGCCACACTCAGGCTTTCGAACCCTTGGCTGAGCTGGCTTGGCACAGTATGCAATAAGTGTTAACTAATATTATGTGTCTGCAACTATTTAAAAACACTTTACATATTTAATTAATCCCCATTATAGCCTATGAAGTGGGTATATCATTATTCTCATTTTAAAAACAGAGGAAACTAGGTTTATTTAAAGAATTAAAAACTGAGGAAATATATGTGTCATTTTGTGAAGTCCCTGGCACATAGTGCTGAGAAATTCTTTGCTATAATAATATAAACTAGTGGCTTGGTTAATTAGAAGGAGTATTTTAATATTGCTGTTCACCATTTCTCTATAATAGAAGTGTCAGCCAAATTTATGATCGACAATGACAGATGGAAACACACGTGTGTGATTGGCACCAGTGAGAGCTTTATATGTATCACACATTTGCGAGTCAACTTAGCCTTTTATAGATATAGAATAAACTTGCTTAATTAGACCTGCTTTCTGATTTAGCTAAACTTTTTCCAGCCCAGTGAAGCACCCCAACTTCTCTTTCAGCTAATTGTCACCAACACAGCAGTAAATATCAACACAAAGCAGATTATTATTGTAGATCACACAGGGAGAACAAAGGATAAAATATTTAACTGCAGCAGTGTTTGACTATATTCTGCGCAGTGAGAAAACCTGAAGTCATTTTCAAGGTCCACCATTTCTTCTTTTCAATCGGGTCAAGTTTCTAAGCTTTCTAAATCTCCGTTTTCCAGCTAATGAAAAGAAAATAGGATTCCACCGAGTCTCCTATCTACCTACTCCAGGACTTCTGTGAAGGTCAAATGGGATGAGGCATGGGGAAACGCTTCACAGACATTTGGTTAAAGTGTAAGATGTTTGCACCTGGCTATAAAGCAAGCCATGTTCCTGGGCTGAAGAGACTGCAAGGAGGCTAGTTGTCGCTAAGGATAGGAAGCTGGGCATTGCAATGTGACATCATTACCTGGTACCCACAGCCATAGTTTCTGGGCTGGGCTGGGCTGTGGGCCACATTTTGCTCCATGGGGTCTTGGCAGCTTTGGCTGCGATTTGGTGGTGTGTTGCTCTGGGGTGGTGGCGGGGCCTGTGTCCCAACTGGGGAAAACCGAGTGTTGCTTTGTGGACACCAGGTCTGCGGTGCCATTTCTCTGTAAACTGCCAGTGCGCGTCACAGCAGCTCCTACATTGAGCGTCTGCCCCCTGGTGGTCAGTGCACATCATAGCAACTGGTCAGACACTTAGACTATTAGCCTTTTATATAGAGAGATGTGACTTAATCTCATAACCTCAAGACTTCTCTTACAAATTTATTCATAATCAGAACAAAATTATGAAATGAGGCACCTCAGTTTTTGCTCATATGATCATTGTTGTTGAGAGGGTACTATTCCTGGGAAGACCAGCAGGATGGTGGCCAAAGGTAGGGGCATTTAGGTGGTCACATTACAGTATGGGGCCTCAGCGCTGGGGGAAACTAGCACTGGGGTGTGAGGGTGCTAGAAGTACAATTCCTTTGAAACTTGTTATGGGTCTGTTCTTATTACCTTTTCCCCCGTAACTACTCTGGTATATTAGAGTAGGGGATTGATGTCCCAGAAAAATGATATACAGCAAACAAAATGTCCACACGGGCTACTTTTATCATGTTTCAGTGTGCCGGAAGATACTGCTTCAGATACTGTGTTGTTTTCGCCTTTTGATTAAACTCCTCTCCCTGCAACAGGTAAATGTCCAATTTACTTGTTTTTTGCTTTGTTCTTTAATTTTTTCAATTTAAACGCTTTGCATTTTTAGACCTCAGCTAAAAAATATCACATTCTAACTCCTTAAAGCCAGGCATACATTAATTGCAAGTATTTTCGTAGTTTATGTATTTTTGTGTTATGTATTTCACTAGACTGAGGGTGGGAACTCTATTTTATTCATCTGGCAGCTAGCAAATCCTAAGTGTTTTCTGAATGAATAGCTAAATAGATAAGCCAAGGGGTAACAGACCTGTTTTAGCCGCTGCTCACCTGTTACCATCCCTGGGTTCTGACTGCTTTTCTGAGATGTCTCTGTCTTGTTTTCAGACTGCCTTTACTTGTAGTACTGACCTCTGACTTGGTCTGCAATATGATATGAAACCAAACTTTGGTGTAAAATCACCCTTTCCAGAGGTCTATTCACTGCCTATAAATTAATTTTTCCATAAATATATGCTTTTTTCTCTTAGCTCATCTAATTATTTTGGACATATGCTTGACATACTAGATGATAAAAGTTTCAAAGGCAAGAAATTTTTCTTTTTGTAAAATTAAAGTATTTTAAGAAACTGGATGATGGTTGTCACTTTAAGTTGAAAAGCAAATGGGCAAAAAAAATTTAAGGAATAATTGAAATATTCAAATTTTGAGACTTCTAACATTTTTATGATTTCTTACATTATAAAGGTTGCAAAAAATATGAAAATAGCTGTTTACCCTCACGCAAAAAGTATCTCAAGTATTCATTCACTCTGGTGCTTTTGCTAACTAGAACTGGGCGGGGTTTCTTGCTAAAAGGAAGTCTAAGGAATGCTTTTTTACTGCATCAGTGCAGTCAGCCTTAGTTCTTAAAAAAACGCAGTACAGTTGTGGATAGAAGGGAAGACTTATCTCCAGTCTTTCTCAAATTTGCTTTTTAGCTACTTTATTTCATAGTTCCCGTAGCGCCTCCACCAGAGGGCAGCACGTGGAAGAGAAACTTATACTTGGCTTCAGAGTGCCTGTGCAAACCCTGAGGATTGAATCCAGCCTCACTTTATAAGCAGCTAGTGTGGCCCAGGAAGACTGAGGATTTGCTCACGGTAGAGCTGGCAGATAAATCACCCAGGCTCTCGATATTTCAGGCTGGTGTCCCTGTGGGGATGCCCTGTGATGAGGCAAGATGGTAGCAAGAACACAGCCCCTGGGGAATCCCAGCTCAGCACTTGCTAGCTGTGTCAACTTAGGCTGGCTACTTCGACTCCCTAAATCTTTTCATCTCTCAAATAGTAATAGTACCTACCTCATAAAGTGCTACTAAAAGAGAATACTCGTAAAGCCCGCCACTAAGAGCTTAATTTTTGTGAATTATGGTAAACTTCAGGTATTGGACTTCAACTGTGATGTGTGGAACACGGATGGAATCAGCATTTCAACTATTGTACTATATACACATGCAATATTTTCCACTTTCTCATAATTTCAGAAACAAAATTTTGCAAGTTCCTTTTCCCCCACTGTAACATTCAAGGGACAGGTGTCCGATACATACATACTATGCATGTCCCCCTCCAGAATGGCGATGGGTTCATTCAATAACCTCCTGAGTAATTTTGGCCATTTCCATTAGATCTTGACTCACGTTGGATGAAAAGGAATCATTTCTAAGAAAAACGCAATGTCTTTTTTTGCCAAACATTTGACCACTGTCTGGGGCTTCCAATGAAAACTAGTCTTTACCTGCCGTGCCCTCCTTGGCTTCCTGAGGAGTGGCTGCCAGTGAAACAAAAGGGCGCAGACGTGGGTCCTTAGGTGCAGCTGCGGGGTGCTCCCTGCAGGAAATCCCAGCCAGGTCTGTGGAAGCGGGCTGGTTCTCCCTGTCCCTGCAGCTTCCGCGCGGTCTAAGGCAGTCTTTACTAAACGTAAGTCAGAAGGCAAGTTTCCATTTGTTTAGTGCAAACAAAGCTCGCCCAGGGAACGTTAAACCTTTTTAAAGATGAACTTGGCCTTTAACTGCCAAGTGCCTATGGTTATTTTGATTTTTACGTGGCTGCGCTCTGTCTACTAGGAAAGGGTCTAGGACAGCGGTTCTCAACCTGTGGGTCGTGACCAGAAAACATATAGCATATCAGATATTTACATTATGATTCATAACAGTAGCAAAATTACATATATGAAGTAGCAACGAAAATAATTTTATGGTTGGGGGTCACCACAACATGAGGAACTGTATTAAAGGGTCGCGGCATTAGGAAGGTTGAGAACCACTGGTCTAGGATGTGATAAGGAGGTTTCAGAGAGCCCGGGAGTCATTCCTTTGCTCCCAATGACTCTGTCTCATCTCTTTCCTGCTGCCAAAGCGAGGTGTGAGCTGGAGGTGTGTGCAGTGGAGGGTGGGGGAGGGGGCAGCATTTCGCTTGGCTTCCGTCTGCCCCTAAGGGTAACTTTTTTGAATGCGAAGAGGTGGGGTGGCCGGGGATCTGTCATTAAGGGTTCCTATGGGTGGGACGCGGAGACGGGAGTGAGGAGGGAGTGGCCCGCGGGTGGGATCTGTGGAGCAGACAAAATGTGGGGCCTCCTCCCTTGAAGTTCAACTTGTCTCTTCCTGAGCGAGGAGCAAGGCGTCCGTAGTTCTCTCCCAGGGGCACGGAAAGGAGAGCAAAGCGACCAAGATAAGAGTGAACAGAGGAAAAAGCGAGACATGTTCTCCATGAAACAGTCCCCTGCCCTCGCTCCGGACGAGCGCTACCGCCGAGCCGGGGCCCCGAAGCGGGTAAGATCCGCGAATCGCGCTCTGCGGGCAAACAGGTCGGTTGACCTCTCAGTCGGGATGAATTCAGGGTTAACCCCTCCTGCCGCTCACCCCCTCCTCCCCTTGGTCGCCACCTTCTTTCCCCACCTTTCGTGAGCTTTCCCGGCCCCTCGCTCAGCATCCGGTCCTGCAAGCAGTCCCAGGGCACACGGTCCTCTCCCCCGGGTGCCCAGCGTCCGGGACCCTCCCCGGGTCCAGGGCAGCATCTCCAGGTTCAAGTCAGGTCAGTCCGCAGACCCGCTCTCCCTCCGCTCTCCTAGCGGAGCAATGCCGAGTCCCCCCTCCTCCCTGCGCCGTCCACACATCCACGGGACTCGCGGGCACCTGGGGGGGATGCTGAAGGAGTTGTCGGGAGCGGCCCCTGGGGACCCGGCTTCCTCTCTGCGCGGCGCTGATGACTCCCGGCCTCCGTGCGGACTGCGCAGCCGGCTTGCCGGCCCCAGACGCCAGCCTCCTTCAACCCGGGTGCGCGTCTCGTCTTGTCCCTCTTGGAACCGGGAATGGCGCTGGGTTTCCCTACAACCGGCTGGTGCCCGGAGACCACCGGACCCTTCTGAGTGCTGGCACCTCAGAACCGGTTCCACTTGCAGGGCGCCGGGGGTCCCTGCGTGCCCTGCGCGCACACTTTGTCTCGGGCGCACACCTGGCCAGGCTACCCCGTCGCCGGTCGCCGAAGGGCACAGATTCAGAGTGGCTCCGGGTTTGGCGAGCTCCGATTCTGCTGGCGAGAGGAAAGGTGGGGAGGCGCACCCGATGGCCCGCACTGCCCTTCGCCTCCGGAACCGGCTCTGGTTTGCAGCTGCCCTTCTTCAGTGTTAGGAAGGTCCCTGCTGTGCAGAGCCAGGTGCGGTGACCGCTCGGTGCGGAAGGGAGTGCGGGGCGCGCGGGACGGGAGGACAGTGGTGCGCTGGATCTGGCGGGACTGATCCCCAGCTCCCGGGCGGTGGTGGACGCCCCACGCCCGGCGCCACCCACCCTCTGGGGCCGGTGGATGGCGGTGCGGGTGCTTTTTGCGCGGCAGGTAGTTCCCGGGACCCAGCCCTGGGCGCTCGCTCGCCGTGGGGGAGCCCCTCAGGGAAGCGGCGGGGCTGGGCATTCCCAGGGAATCTGTCCCAGCAATGTATTCAGTGATGCTTTCCTTCCGCGGGGAACTCCTGAAAACAGCGCACTGCAAAGACAGCTCTGGTATGACTCTTCCTGTATTCACAGTGGTAGTTTGTAGGATTTTTTGTTGTTTGTTTTTTTGTAATTTAAGGATAGAAGCCCAGAAACAGAGCCAAATCAAAATTTACTGGTGGTCATTATCCACAGACAGACATTTTAGCTGAAGGTGTTGACATGAAAGATGCTGCAAAACATTCATTGTGGCATCATCCAGAGAGAATGAGAAGGAACAATGCATTTTTTTTAAAGTTACAAATTTGTCAGTCACAGCATTCGCTAGCATGTTAGTGTTATTTGGTGGCTGTAGTTTTTGTTGTGCAAAAGGGAAGCTAAAAATCAGTCCCGGAAACCAGGTTCCTGGGGGTAGAGCGGTCAGACGAGATGTCTGCCTGGACATGTGTGAGTCTGGGCTGAGCGGCCAGGTTTTCCATGGAATCCTTTCCACTGAGAGTCGCGCTAGAGTGTAGAGTTATTTGGGTGTAGAATCACATAAACCTCAAAACCTCAAGATGCTGGAAAGCTTTATTTAGGGGAAGAGGGCTCTTCCCAGAGGTTCCTTGTAGGGTTGGATTACAGTTCTGTGATGACAGACACCGTTAACCTGCCAGGAGGTTAAACAGACAAGGGTTGCCTTATTAATCTCACCAAGTAAATTTCCAGGCACAGTGAAACTTTTTAAAAAGATGCGAAATTCATCACATCAGAAATCTTCCTCTTAGTGCTGCAGAAACCCCCACAGCAAGAGCTTGGAAGGCGTCGGTGCCTCCAGCACAAACCAACTGAGCTTTTGTTTGGGGAGGGTCACGTTTCTGCCATGGCTTCCTTTGGATTTCAGCGCTTGCTGGCTTTATGGCCCTCCGTTGCCCTTCTCCATTGCTGCGGGCAAACAGGAGGTTGCAGGAGAAGACTAGCCCCGGATCTCCAGAGAATTAGCCTCACCACTCTCCGAAGCCTGCATTACAAATCTCCACACTGCTAGTGAGGTACTCTGCTCACCATCTCCTTCCTTCCCTTACCTCCAACCCCCCTCCACATGGAGATGTATGGCCTCAGGGTTTCTGCATGGCTCTGCCGCTGGTGGGACAGGCGCTCCCAGATGATTAAAGCTATGATTGAGCATTTTTGCTGACTGTGTCCAAGGGAGAAAGGGTTCTTCAATGTGCCACTTCTGCCTTAGAAAGTTAGTCAGCAAGGATGCATTCATGCATCCTGTTTGCTCCATTGTTGTTCTTGGCATTCCATTTTGTCTGCCCAGGTGGAGAATGGGGCTGGTTGGCTAAAGGATACGGACCTGTATAGAATACTGGATCCACACTAAGCACTCAAGGACGCCTCTTCCTGCCCCCCCCCCCCCCAGCTCCCCCGTCCGCCCCAGACTTACCTACTCCTCACAATCTACTCAGACAGGTGCACACAGGTATACACACACTTTTTTGTTTAGAGTGTTCAGAGAGGGTGGGAATGGAGGAAATCACAGGAGTGAAAAAGGTGCCATAGGTGAGGTGCCTTGGTGGAGAGCATGGATTTTGGTGTCAAAGCCTAGTCCAAATCTCTTAGGAGCTGAAAAACACTGAGCAAGTCAATAATCTTGTTAAACTTTGATTTCCTTATCCAGCCAATGGGGGTGATACTACTGACTATCTCTAAGGACACTGAGAGGACTAAGGAAATACTTATGTCCTAGAAATACTATATTTAACAATTGAACATTCTGTGAAGGCTCCCTAACCTGTTAGTAATTATGGAGCTGTCTCATCCCAGGTAGTCTCCCGGGCCTCTATCCTCAGCCAGCCTTCTGCGACTCTAAAGCTGTGCTGTCCAATAGTGTAGCTGCTCGGCACTGAAATTAATCACAATTTACATCAAATTAAAAATTGGGATCTTCAGTCTCACTAGTCACACTTCAAGTGCTCAGTCACCACGTGGACCAGTGGTCACTGCGTTAGGTGTAGACAGAACATCTCCTTTGCTGGGATGTTTTCTCAGAGCTGTCTTTCACTTGAGTGATCATTTCGCTGGACTCTCAGGTGATAAAAGTTTTCTTAGCCAACACCTCCCTTTGCTTCTTTGCCAGGGCATTTGTTGAAGGTTAAATGGCTAGATTCATTTATACGTCAGCCAACAAATGTGTATCAGTCATAAAACCCTTGGGAAGTCTCCCCTCACCTTGATGATTTTTGCTAACGTATGGTTCTTTCCCCTTCACGATGAGCTCTATGGCTGGTGGTTTTCCTGCTTTTAGAGCAGAAACACTGATATAATAGAGGGAGAATTTATCTTCCCCATTTACCCTTGCATGTTGTATCGTTTTTTACAAGAATGACAGTACTAGAATATGAGGCTCAATGTTTGGGTCAGATTCTATTGGGAGTGTTCGCTTTCTTCTAAACGAATTAGATTCAAAACTATTTCTCTCCAGAGGACCCCTTCCTGAACTTGTCACCATTTGACAGACTATATATGTTACTTCTCACTTCTGGTTATTTTCTGTCTCCTCCCACTCTAAGTATGAACTCCAAGGAGGCAGAGGTTTTCCGTGTTTGTTCATTGCTGGAAGAGTGTCTGGCACATAGTTGGTACCTATTAACAATGTGTGAGTGATGACTGTGCAGAAGTACATTTGTAACTAGCTAAGAAAGATAACTGCTGCATTAGCTTCCTAGGGCTGCTGCAGCAAATTACCACAAACTGGTTTTCTTAAAACAACAGGAATTTATTTGCTCACAGTTTTGTAGGCTACAGGTCCAAAATCAAGTTCCTTGGCGTGGGAAGAGTCCTCCCTCCCCGCCTCTTAGCTTCCAGTGCTTGCTGGAAATTCGGGGCTTTCCTTAGCTTGTAGCTGCCGCACTCCGATCTCTGCCTTCTTAGTCATGTATCCTTCTTCCCTGTCCCACGTGTTTGTTCTCTTTATAAAGACACCAGTCATATTGGACTTAGGGCTCATCCTGACCCACTATGACCTCACCCCAATGAATTACAAAGGCAAAGACTCTGTTTCCAAGTCAGGTCACATTCATGTCACAATCCATGTGACATGAATTTTGGGGACACTACTGAAGCCAGTGCAGATGCATAGATCCTTTCCCTGTCTCCATTCTTTACCCCCTAGGGTTTATTCTGTTTCTGGGACTTTGCTAAATGCACTTGAGAGCAAGTACAGTCCACAACACTTATTATTTGTACAGTCACCGTGCAGGTGGGCAGATCACGTGTGCTTTCCTCGTGGGCGCGGAGTACAGGGGCTGCTCACCTTTGGGTTGCTGCATCAGTTGCCCTGTCCTGAGCCTGTCACTGTCTCCAGTCCCAGCTCCTCTCTCTTCTGACTTTTCTGTCTTCCTGACCCCGAGCATTCTGCAGCCCTGAAGGTGCCCAGGAATTGTTTGCCTCTCAGCCAAATGCTGGCAGTTACCCCATGAGCTCACCTGATGGCAGCTGTTTGAATATTCTCCTACGGTACATGTCTGTGTGTCCAAACCATCAGAGTGGGTGATGACAAGCACAGTGCTAATGTGTGATAGGACCAGACGACCCAGGTGGCCCTGCTGGGGATCCATCTTGTCCTCGCGTATCAGCACTGAAACTGTCAGCACTCAAGAGGAGCAAGGCCAGTGAGCCAACAGGCTGGCTTAGCAGGAGGGCAGGAAACATAGGGATGAGTTGGGAAGATCATTTTGGTGCCACTAGTTTGTGCTTATCCCAGGGCCCCTTCAAACCTTCAGGCTGACAGCTCTGTTTGCAGAACTTGGCAGAGTTTTAAAGAACAGTCCTGGTGCAGCTATGAAAGTAAATGTCAGTCT